TTTTGGACTTTTGGTCCGCGTTGTGTTCTTCCATTTTCTGTGCTGAATCCAACCGTATAAAGAACGTGAATTTTGGACGTACGGTTGGAAAGTTATAGGCAAAACACTGGACAGAGGTCGAAACTGAAAAACAGAGAAAACGAATCTGCCCAAAAACGAATCTGTTCATAGGTGATAAAAGGGTGATAAAAAGTGCTGTTTGTGTTTTTCTTTAGTTTTCTTGTGTTGTTTTATTTCTTTTACACTTCTTTACTCATTTCTAGTTTCCCTCTTTCATTTGTGCATTTGTGGTGTGTTAATTAAGTGCTCTCTTTGTACTCAAATTAGAACTTATAGGAAGCCGACAAGTTCTTCGTGGGATCGACCCCGTACTTACATAATCTATACTTCAATAGATTCGTGCACTTGCGGGTATTTTTAATTGGTTGTTTGCACATTAATTTGTGTCCTTTTAGGAATGCAACAGGAAGGGGCGTCACTCTGGACATGAGTGCAACCCGGGTGCCCAGCTGAATGAACACGGCCACGGCCACGTTGGAATCATCGTACCAGACCCTCCCATCTTCATCAATTGCATTGCAATTTCTCCTCGGCCTCATAGGGAGGAAGGTTATCTTCCCCCAGGGCTGGGGAGGAATCTCGGCCACAGTTTGGCTCTAGCTCACGTCGACTTTCCAAGGCGAAAGACAGTCGGTGGACAGCAGGGGAGGAAGAGCCATCTAATTATGGCCAAATGGCCAAGTCGCGAGGTTTAGCGGATATGGCTCCTCGGTTTTTGGAAGGGCTACAATGGGGGCCACTGGAGCAGGTTAAAATGAAGGGGAGAAGGAGTAAAGGAGGAACGAGGCCCAGGAATCACTAAGCAAGAGGAGAGCTTCAGAACAGGAGGCATGAAAGAAAAATGAAGGAAGGAAGGGTTTTTATACTAGCACTGGAATTCAAAACAGGAGGTGTGATTCTCGAAAGACGAAACGGCCTGACAACGCACTCGGGGCACGCGAGGGTGTGTTTGAAAGCTGGGGGCCGACGTTTCGGTTGGCGAGGTAAAATGATGGCTCACACGAATCGAAAGCGCGATGACGTGTCGGAAGCCCAGAGGACGTCGTTTCATTTGACGAGGCGAGGCGACACCTCGCGTAAGTCTGGGCAATGATGGCCTGCACGACGTGCTTGGGCATTAAATGCGCC